CGCTTTCCATGTCACTTTTTCCGTTTGTCTTTCTTTCTTTATGTATGTATGTTAACCTCTCTCTCTCTCTCTCTATCTATCTTTCTCTCTGTCTGTATCTGTGTCTGTCAGTCTCTCTCTCTCTCATGATAATAATAACAACAATGATAACAAAAATGATGATAATAATGATGATGATAATAATAACAATAAAAATAATATTAATTACAATAATATCATTAATGATAATAATAGTAACAATAATAATAACAATGATGATGATAATTACCATTATTATCATGCTACTATTGAGAATGATAATGATGATAATGATAATGATAATTGCAAAAGAAATAACTAAAAGAACAGAATAACTGTACAAGTAATGGTGATTATCAAAATGATAATAACATTAATTATAATAAAATAGAATAGAGTACCATTCATAAAGAAAGCTATACTGATAGTAAACAGAATAACAATATAATGATAATTATATAATGATAATTACAGCAATGATAATGATAGTAATATCGATAATAATGATTACAGTTATGATTCTTGTTAGTATTATGACCATCATTAGGATTATTACTAAAATTATTATTATCATCATCATAATACACTGATGCAATAATACAAAAAATGTAAGGATGGTGATTATAACGACAACAGTAATGATAATGATAACAATAACAGTAATTTTAATGATGATGATATTAATAAGAACTAATAATGCTAATCATTTATATGGATAATGATAGTAGTAGTAATATAGAGATAATAATGACAATGGCAATAATAGGGATAACTGTAATATGATGATTACAATAATAATAGCAATAATGATGATAACGTTGATGATGATGATGGTGATAATGAAGATGGTGATGATGATGATAATGAATATTTTGATGATGACGATGATGATAATGAATATGTAGTTGATGATAATGATAATGAAGATGATGATGATTATGATGAGGATAACGATGTTGATGATGATGATGATAAAGATGATGATGATGATGATAATGAAGATGCTGATGAGGATGATAATGTTTATGATGACATTAATAAAGATAATTAAACAACAACAACAACAATAACAACATAAATTTTAATAAGTGAATCTACACTAAAATACCGAACAAGGAAGGTACCCAATCGGTTACAACTCCATAACGATCGGACGGGGAAGTGCCGCCGATACCAGCCCACAAACTTGTTCCAAACATGTTTGTTTACTTTCCTACAATTGTGTGGTTTGGAATTTCTTGCACAATAAAAACCCATGAAGTGAATGAAGAAGCGGGGGGGGGGGAGGAAGAAGAAGAAGAGGAAGTAAAAGAAGGGAAGAAAAAGTAGAAGAGTGAAAGTTTGATGAAATAAAAGAGGTAAAAAAATATCATTCTCCCAATAAAAAGCAAGAGATGAATGAAGAAGGGGAAAGAGGAAAGGAAGAAGAAGAAGAGGAAGTAAAAGAAGGAGAGAAAAAGTAGAAGAGTGAGTCTGATGAAATAAAAGAGGAAAATTTATCATCCAACAAAAACCTACGAGATGAAGGAAGAAGGGAGGAAAGGAGGAAGAGGAAGTAGAAGGGAAGAAAAAGTAGAAGAGTGAATGTCGGATAAAAAAATGAGGAACATTTATCATCCTTCCAATAAAAAAAAAAACACGTGAGGAAAGAAGGGGGAAGAGGAAGAAGTAGAGGAAAAAAAAAGAGAAAAGTGACTCTAATGAAATAAAAGAGAGAAAAAAAATTATCCTTCCAATAAAAACCCACGAGATGAAAGAAGGAAGAATGGAGGAAGAGGAAAGGAAAAAGAAGAAGGAGAAAGGAAGAAAAAGTAGAAGAGTGGAAGTCTGATGAAATAAAAGAAGTAGAAAGAAGATGAAGAAGTATAAGAAGGGAAGAAAAAATAGAAAATAAAAGAGGTAAGAAGAAGAGGAAGAAGACGTATAAGAAGGAAAGAAAAAGTAGAAAATAAAAGAAGTAGGAAGAAGGGAAGAAAAAGTAGAAAATAAAAGAGGTAGGAAGAAGAGGAAGTAGAAGAGAAGAAAAAGTAGAAGAGTGAAAGTCTGATGAAATGAAAGAGGAACATTTATCATCCTTCCAATAAAAACCCACGAGATAAAAGAAGGAAGAAGGGAGGAAGAGGAAAGGAAGAAGAAGAAGGAGAAAGGAAGAAAAAGTAGAAGAGTGAAAGTCTGATGAAATGAAAGAGGTAGAAAGAAGAGGCAGAAGAAGTATAAGAAGGAAAGAAAAAGTAGAAAATAAAAGAGGTAGGAAGAAGAGGAAGAAGACGTATAAGAAGGAAAGAAAAAGTAGAAAATAAAAGAGGTAGGAAGAAGAGGAAGATGTATAAGAAGGAAAGAAACAGTAGAAAATAAAAGAGGTAGGAAGAAGAGGAAGAAGAAGAAGTATAAGAAGAGAAGAAAAAGTAGAAAATAAAAGAGGTAGGAAGAAGAGGAAGAAGAAGAAGTAGAAGTGAAGAAAAAAAGTAGAAGAGTGAAAGTCCGATGAAATGAAAGAGGAAAATTTATCATCCTTCCATTTGTAGGTCCGATCACGAGGGTGCAAAAGGTTAACCTCACGAGCTTACGAGAGGCGGCCGTCATCAGCCAATCAGAATCCACGGATCGGCGAGGGGCGATTTCTGATTGGCTCGTGGGCTCTGGGTCTACCTGAGGATAATAGGTTCCAGGCGGTTAGTCATGGTTCTCCGTTACTCTATGGGTTTAATGGGTAAATTTGGGCTGGCAATAAAAACTAGAACTTAATTGACGGAAAGGATCTATGCCCAGCGTTCCGTGGCGGCCGGGCTTATATGTGGAAAGGGGAAGGGGGGAAGGGGGGGCGAGAGGGAGGAAAGGGGAGGGGGGGAGGGGGGCGAGGGGAGGGGGGTGGCGAGAGGGAGGGGGGGGGGTGGGATATAGGGGAGGTGGGAGATTGGGGGGAAAGGGGAGGCCGTAGGATATGGGGGAGGGGGGAGTTGGGGGGAAAGGGGGCGAGAGGGATATGGGGGAGGGGGAGGTGGTGAAGGGGAAAGGGGAGGCCGTGGATATGGGGGTGGGGGGAGGTGGGGTGGGTAATGGGTAGGGGGCAGACCACGACTTAGGGGCTTTGGTTGTGTGTGTGTGTGTGTGTGTGAGTGCGACTGCATAGGTAAATGTTATATCTATCTTTTTTCCTCCCAATCTATATATCTATATCTTTTTTTTGCCAATCTATACCTTTCTATCTATCAACTATCTATTCTTTTCTATTTGCCTATCTATCTATCTGCATCTATCTATCTGTCTATCAACCTATCACTTCACATACCTACCTCTATCTATCTATCATCCTATCAACTTACATACCTACCTCCATCTATCTGTCTATCAACCTATCAATCCACATACCTACGTCTATCTACCACATACCCACATCACAATCATCCATTTTACGAGCAACAGTGCCCACGTACCCACACAACCCCTTCAGTCCACCCTCCCTCATACGTGCATGTATGTAAGTCAGACCTATGTGCGTGGCCATCCAGCTCCTGGGTGAGGACGTGTACACCTTAATTACCTGTGTAAACGAGAGGGGCTCCTAGCATTTCAATGGGTCTTCTGGAGGCGTGAGAACCCAGGGGCGTGCGATCACCCTGAGGTTCTTGGCGTCTTGGCAGATGTTTCGAGGCCTCAGGGGGGATACAGGGAGAGTGGGTGGGTGGGGGGGTAGGGATGAATTAGAGATGAGGGAGGCTGGGGTATCGAATGTGTCATCTCACTGCATCGGGGGGGGGGGGGTGCTGGAGAGGATGGGGGGAAGGAGGGAAAGGGGAAGGGAGGGGAGGAAGAATGGAAGGTGTGGGGGAAGAGAGAGGTGAGAGGAAGAAAGGATGAGAGAGTGAGTGAGAGAGAAAGAGAGAAAAAGAGTGAGTGCGAGAAAGAGAGAGAGAGAGAGAGAGAGAGAGAGAGAGAGAGAGAGAGAGAGAGAGAGAGAGAGAGAGAGAGAGAGAGAGAGAGAGAGAGAGAGAGAGAGAGAGATAAGAAAAAGAGAAAGAGAGATGATAGAAGAGAAAGTGAGAGATAGATAGAGAGAGAGAGAAGCAGGCAGAGAGATATACACACATACAGACAGTGTGATAAACAGACATACAGACAGATTCCATACACGTGTGTATTCATATGTGCATATACATACAAATGCAACTGTCTCTGTGTGTGTGTCCCTTCATGATTGTGTATATATGCATACATAGGTGAACGTGTGTCAGCGTGTACACGTGTCTGTCTGTATAATCTACATTCGCAGAGGAACAACCACAGAATATATCATCGACCAGCAGGCAGAGTTATTGGCCTTTGAGGAGTTGACATTTGGAGTCTGAATTCAGAACAAAACATAGCTATTCAGTTTTCAAACCATGCTTGAGTCCTGCCGAATCTAATCTGTTATCAATAGCAAGCCTCACAGTAGTTCAACCACACAAACACACGTGTGTTTATATATGTGTGTATGTATATGTATATGCATATATATGCATATATGCATATGCTATATATATATATATATATATATATATATATATATATATATATATATATATATATATATATATACTATATATATATATATATATATATATATATATATATATATGTGTGTGTGTGTGTGTGTGTGTGTGTGTGTGTGTGTGTGTGTGTGTGAGTGTGTGTGTGTGTGTGTGTGTGTGTAATCTTTTTATTCTTTATCTTATCTATATCTATCTATTCATCTATCTACACGCAAAAAAGGAAGAGAGAGCAGATCAGGGGGAGGGCCAAGAGGAGAGCCGCCCCGCCCGCCCCCCGCCCCCCGCCGCCCGCCCCCCCGCCCGTGGGTCCGCGGCGCCTCCAAGTGTGTGGGCCTCCTCCTGACGCGGGCGAGACAACGCTGCCTCGATGATGGGCGCCTACAGGTGATGTGGGCGGGGGACTCGCGGGCGTGGACGGCATAGCAGGACACGAAAGCGTCTGTGGGCGGC